GGGCTGCGCAGGTGACGCCCACCCGGCCTCGGCGGGACCCGGCTGGGGAGGGCCGGCCCGCGCGCTCCGGAACGGGGGCGGCAACCCACGCCCTCGGGCAGGCGCGGAAGTTGGGCTGGAGGGAGGAGGGAAACCGACGCCCTGGACCGTGGCCTTTCCGAGGTGGGCAAGGCCGGGGCACAGCTGGGTCCGAGCCTCCTGGGATTTGGTGTGGGTGCAGCTGCGGATGTGTGCTAAGGGAACTTGAGTGAAGATAACTCACATACACCGAAATGCCCAAACCCTCCGTGTTCAGCTCCACTAACTTGTGTGTGTGAATGTACACCTGTGTGCCCACCACCCACAGCAACAGAACGTGCCGATACCCCCAAAGTTCCCTCGGGCTCCTTTCCCACTTTCTGTCGCTGTGGATTCGTGTTCCCTGTTCTTGGCCTTGACATACTTGAAATAACACGGACTATCTCATTTGTGTCTGCCTTCTTTCACTCAACACATGGAGACTAATCCTGTTACACCCAATAAAGCTGCGGTGAACATTCTGGTGAGATGGGGGGGCATAAACTCTCATTTCTCTGGGGTAGATACATATGAGTGACTTTACTGAGTCACAAAGTAGGCATAGACTTAACCTCTACTAAGCTGTCAAACAGTTACCCCAGTAACATACTGTTGCAAGCCTTCTAAGTTACTTTTTAAATGAAGATAGGTGCCAGCAGGACTGGAAATGAGATGCTGTCAGTGTTCTTTGAGTAGAGTTTAGGTGGCCAGACTTGTTATAGCTCCAAACATTTAGAGATAACCAAAAAGTCTACCTCTATGAGATCACTGGATGCCAGGACTGTCCCATCATCAGAAGACTCATCAATGTGGCAAAGGCTTGATAATTCTAGAATGTGGAGATACTCATGCAACCTATGGTTTGACAAGTCTCCCAGGTGATTCTGATAAACGCTCACTTTTGAGCACCGATCACTGCTAAAGTTGAGGCACCTGGGGATTCATTATGCTATTTTCTCTACTTCTGTGTACATCTGAATTTTTCATGACCAAAACCAATTGCCTCCAATATCTGTCTTCTCTTTAGACAGCAGTCACAGTGCCTGGTACTCCATTTCTTTCTCTCTAAAATAAAGACAGCTGCACCCAGGGCCTGCTGTGACAATGGGACAGCCGTGCAGGCAGTTCCAGATGCCACAGGCATGAACTTGGGATAGCGTATCATGTAGATTTACATTTCCACCTCTGTACTTTTTCCAAGTCTTCGGAACCCATCATGGGATGACATGGGGTCGTTGTTGAAGCGAAGGCTTCAGGGAAGGAGAAAAACCCAGCACTGGCTAATTCCCCCTCCTTCTGGGGCCCTTCAGCAATCTTCTAAATTGGTGATTTTCAGTGTGTGGTCCCCAGACTAGCAGTATCGGCATAACCTGGGAACTTGTGAGAAATGCAAATTCTTAGCGCCCCACCCCCATCCGCCCCAGACCTGCTGAATCAGAAACTCTGGGGGTGAGGCTCAGCAATCCGTGATTTGACAGGTCGTCCCTCCACCTCCCACGTGATTCAGATGTGTGTTGGAGTCTGAGAACCGCTGTCATTAATGGAGTCCATTAGAGCTGAGACTTGGCTGGGTTTGTCTGACTGCTGTTGGTCAGCGTGTCACCCAGCCCAGGCAGGAAGTAATCACCGGTGGTGGCCACTCTGTGAGTCAGTTTATCATGATCCCGTAATCGTGATCAGGTGGTGTGCTGGCCTGACGGATAAGAGGCTCCATGCACGAGACCTATGGCCAAGTAGCCAGAGATGTTCACATGGGTTGATGCCTTCTTGGGGTGAAGGGCTGTCCCTTGGGGAGCAAGGGCTTAGGCAAAGACTTCACAGCCCCCTTTAACGATTTCACACTCTAAGGGGGGAGCCAGCCAGGTGACTGGTCTCTGACTAGCTGGTGAGAATTCAAGAACTTCCAAGTTCCTCTCTGTTCATCTATCCTGAAGAAGTGCACCTTCCAAGGCTTCAATTAGAATGTCATTGACCACAACTCATGTATACCAGTATGATCATGATGATATATCTGGTCAGATATAATGAAATAAAATAATGACCATTGACTCTGTATTAGTCACAGTGCTTTTGGTTGCAAGGGACAGAAACTAAAGCAGAAAGAATTCCGTGGCTGGTGTAACTGGTATGCAGCTGTGGTATCTTTCAGGCACGGTTGGATCCAGTTGCTGGAGTCAGGCACAGTCAGGCCCTCTTTCTCTTTGCTTCAATCTTCTCTGTGCTGGCTCTACTGCCAGGTAGCCCTCTCATGACCTCTGGCAGCATAGAGCACAGGCTTATATTTCCTCCTAGCTAACAATCCAACCCCTTTACAAGGGCACCTATTTCTCAATGGTTCTGACAGTGTTAGTCTGCTTGGGGTGCTGCAACCAAATACCAGTTTTAAACAGAAGAATTTATTTTGAAAATTGGAGGGGGGGGTGATGAGAGGAAAACCTATCTGGAGTGTCAGGGAAGGAGTACAGTGGCAGAGAATCGGATTCAGAGTTAGAAGACCTGTCTTGGAATCCAGGCTCCTTGGAGCACGGATCTCCATACCTGCAAGGGGTGGGGCGTGGATGCTGCTTACCTCCCAGTGCTGCTGGGAGGACTGAAGGAGATGGTACGTGGTCAGGCATTCGGGAGATGTTAGCGGTCCCTGAAATAGGTTGGGATGGAAGATGGTTGCGCCTGGCAGGTTGGGCCATTGGCGAACAGGTACAAACAGCATTCTGAACCAGGATCCGGCAAAAAACAAGCAAGCAAAGAAATAAAAAAGCAAAAAACCTCAGGGCTGCCCTTGGTTCAGAGTTGCCTTCTTTGCTCATAACCCTTGTCCAGCTTACATGCCTCATCCCATGTCCTTCACATACCCCAGGAGAAAGGTCTGTGCACAACCAAGGGACATGAAACATTGCTAATATTTACTGCCCTGCTCAGGCCGTTTCTACTTGGTTCCTGCCTGCATTTGAGAATTTGGTGCTGAACTGCAAAGGTGGTCCCTGCCTACCTCCCCCTGCAGTGCGTCTCTGAAAAACCCACCAGATGGTGGACGTCACTTCACAGACTGACTCCCGCCAATATCTGCTCCAATGATGGACAAGGAGAGGTTTGATGCTGGCTGATGAAAGCATAGTGACATTTGACAGATCAGGCAGTGAAGCTGGCCTCAGACAGTCTTCTCTGATTTTCTGATAATTTCCCATGTGTTTGAATTGTTGACCCACGCTTCAGGGCTGTACATTTAGAAGGGATGTGACAGGGGAGGATCCCTAACTCCTTCAGCAGTGAAACGGTCTGCATAAAGGTCCTGGTTTTGTTTGCCTGACCTTTGGAATGAGGAGAGGGCACTCTGGTCTGCCCACAGGGGAAGTTGTCTGGACTTCATTGTTCCTGTTTGTCAAATGGGCTGAAACCACTCGTTTTTAAGGTTCAAACAGAAATGAATCTGAAAATGTTAAGAGAAGTAATAAAACAACATACAAATGTAAGGAATAATCAGATTCTTGTGCTAATGTTTTCTACCAGAATCAGTACTCCTATGAAGTCATCAGGGGAGGGGAGGGAAGAGGCTCTTTTTCCTTCTTTATCCATTAGATCTTTGATCGGTGAGATAAATGATGGTCAAAATCACTACACTTCCCTTCAAGGCAATGGGTACAGTCCCCTGAATGGTTTTCCCGTAAGTGCTCGGGTCACTTGCCCACCTTTATAACGGGGCTTTATGATGTTAATTTTTCCACTAATAGTGAGGATCCTGGTTTCTTTTCAACCTGCTGAAACCACTGCCTTATTTTAAAATATCTGCCATTTCCTGATTTTGAATGTATTACTTGCTCACTGTAGAAAACTGGGAAATTCAGAAAAAAACAAAGAAAATAAAAAGCACCCCATGATCTCACCACCCTTCAGAGTTTGGCTTTCTAAGTTATACCATAAACATTTCCTGTTAAAAATTCCTTACAAACGGTTTTTAGTGGCAGCATAGTTTTGGTTTTTTTTTTTTTTGGTCTGTACAATTTATTTTTCTTCCTTATATGTTTTTAGAAAGACAGCACTTTAACAACAGATCTTCAGTTGTTACAACTGAATCAATTAATCAGCAGTCTAGCAACCACAGTTCAAGCACAGGTTGAGAAACGTGTTAAAAATACAAAGTTAAATCTTCAATGAGGCTGCCAATCAATTCTGATCCTGAATAAACTTGGGTTGTGGTGCCTTAACTTCTAAAGTCTCATTCGTTGGATTTACTTACTGAGCCATTTCCCTACTGTTAGGGCTTTAGGCTGATCCAGCATTTCTTTTTTCCTATTATACATCAGACCAGGATTAACATCTTTGTGCACGACTCCTGAGAGAGGCACCCCGCAAGTTCACGGGGACGAACATTTTT